GAAACCTTTGAATGTCTTACATTCATTTTAAGCCAGAACTTGGATTCCTGTGAACAATGAGATGAGATGTATACAATGTAAAATACCTTTAAAAAAGCTCTTATTTTCTAAAGCCACCAAGTCTTTTATAGTTTACTTTATGAATATCTCGCATCTTCATTTCTTCTTCTCTGTACCCAGTCCCACCACCTTGGCTTAGGTGTCCGAATCACCTATACTGATATCAAAGTAACCTTTTCAAACAAACAAACACACAACAAACGAACAAAAAGATTATGTTGTTTTCACTTAAAGCTTTTCAATGACCCCAATTTAGGTGCCTGATCTGTCAGTAATTAGTAAATTAATATGGTCATATGTTATGTTATCTACTTGTGCCCCAGCCTGATCCCCCTCATGTTCCCCACCCACCCCCCAGACAAACGACAAGTTGTATTACTTGTACCGTGTCCTTTTACAAGTTGTCTCTCTTTTTTTTAGAATCCCTTGGTTAATTACAACTTTATTTGTTCCTTAATAATTAATATTTTAATAAGGTAATAAATATACACAGATTTTTAAAAATCTAATAGTACTAAAAGGTTTACAACAACAAATAGTAGATCTTGGCACCATGGCTTCCTTCCTCTTTACCTCCTGGAAGCAACCACTTTTAACTATTTTAAGTGTTTTCTTTTGTATTTACCTCCATCTTGCTAAATAACTTGCTTGAAATGCTATTTGTTGACTTGCCAAGCTTGGATTCTACCTATTGAGTTTCTTTTCTCTCATAACTTCAGTATATTACTATAAAGGTGATACTCAAAATATTTAAGAACTGGCACAGCAAAGATACTGATAAATCACCACAGTTTCCCCACATGGCATAAGTGGACTAATTACAGACTCTCATTTTATGATAATTTTTGATATAATAATGTGCATTATCAGTATTTACATTATTACTGCCATATAAACATTGTCTACTGATGAAACAAATAATATCAATGATTATGCTATCCAGAAGTTATTGATTGATGTTTTTAAAAATCATTTCTTTCCTACTAAAAACTCACCACAATCCTCACCTTCTCCATCAAGTCTTTGTGGCTAAATACAGTTGATTCTCCACCCTGGGTTACTCCTGTGTCTCCTCGGTTGTTGACCCTACTACACCACGCCTTAAATATTTGTGTGTCTACCTTCCTTACCAGAATGTGAGCTCCTTAAGATTAGTAATATTATCTGTTATCTTTGAACCTTCAGTGTCTTGTATCACAGTACTCAATAAATATTTGGTGAATTATGGGTGGAACAAGAATGTCTCTTTTCCTGGAAGCAGCCTTAAGTATCAATACTGAATACTGAGTAAATGGTTTTGTGTGCATTTCTGTGATTTCTGAGTCAATTCGTAGAGATCACAAACTTAAATGCTTGTCAGGGTCTAGGCAGTTAAAATAATTGAGCCCAGCCAGCCTGATAGGATCTGTAGAATTAAAGGTGTCACCTGCAGCTTAGCGGTCTCCAGTTGTTTCCAGGAAGGTATTTCAGACCTGTGTTGCCAGACCTTCTGCTTTTTCAGTAGAAGCAGAAAAATCCAGGTGAAATATGAGCTGTCACGATTCAATTTTTTAAAACTGTGCAGATCAAGAAAATGGTTCTTCTGGATCCAGTTCGTGGCTGCCAGCTCGTGACTATAACCTGAAGACTGTGGGTGAGCAGATAGCAGTGTGCTAGCCCAGGGCCTCGTGCAGGGCACATGCTTCTCCGGAGCATGCCTCCTCCCTAGGAGTCCCGCCTAGGGCTCTTCCCAGCGGCATCCTTTCACCAGCTGATGCCAGCGTGTGGAGTAAGTCGTAGCAGAAGAGAGTCTGGGCACGGGCCCCAGCCTGCTGGAAGGTTGGAGGGCCCTGGGCGGGTTTCGAAATCAGGGGTCCCTCTGTTAGGTGGAAGTGGAGAATGGTGGGTTAAATTATAAGTGATAGTAGAAATGAGTGTGCGTAGACCAACAATTGTATACTAGGTCCCAAGCCATGTGCCTTTTCTTATGTTACTTAATTTTATTTTTACAAGAACTTCGAGAAGGAGATATTGTCATCCCTAGTTTGTAGATGTTGAATCTCTATAAGATTTAGAGTTTTTGTAAAAGTCCCACCATTAAAACAGATTAACTTCAGAATTAAGGGTTCCTAATTCTGCTCATAGAGAAAGCTCACATATGAGATTTTAAGCATGAATTAAACCTATTTTATAATAATAAAATAAATTGATTGAAATTTTGCATTGAAATTTTCTATCCAGTAGAAATGGATACTGGGATTTTTAAAATCTGAATGTTGTTTTGTTCTTTTATACATTTATTTATTCATTCTTTCAACATTTGTTGGATATTTATTGTATTCTGTGTTAGTTACCAGGATTACAAAGATGATTAAGTATACAATCGGTGTGCTTGGAAAGTCCTAAATGATTATATGTTTCTGGCTTTTTAAAAGTGTGAAATGAGGGTGGCAGGTATTGGGATAAAAGTCCTGAAAAATCTAAAAATTTGGTGGCCAAATTGCATGTGTGTTTTATAATAGGGGAGACACTCCTTTTTTTGTTGTTGCTACAAATAAAATATGCTACTAGAAAATTAGAAAGTACAAATAAGGAAAATTAAAAAAAAATTCTTCTAACCAATGTGAGTAACACTATCTACTTACTTACCCACCTTTATATCTCTTTATATCTATATTTTTTTACACTTACCACAAACAGATGCAGACAAACCACAGATCACGGAACATTATTATTCTATAGCCTATCTCTCTTGCTAAGGAATATATAAAAATGTTCTATTAATGTTTGAATTATGCCTGAATAGTATTTCATGTATTTAATCATCTGAGCCTTGTTAGATATTTAGGAATTTCCAATTATTTTTAACCCATGTTACATAGAGAATTTTTGCAGCTAAATCTTTTTATGTATCTTGGATTATTTCCTTAGGGGAAATTACAGAAATGAAATGAGTGCATTTAAGCATTTGTACATTTTTTTAGTTTTTTGTTTTTTGTTTTTTTTTGCTTTTAGCACGTACAGTACTAAACTGTCCTCTAGTAAAGTAATGCTAATTTACCTTTCACCAGTGGATTTGAATTTATTTTTTTAAACATTTTATTTATTTATTCATGAGAGACACAGAGAGAAGGTAGAGACACAGGCAGAGGGAGAAGCAGGCTTCATGCAGGAAGGGATGTGCGACTCGATCCCTGGACTGGATCACAACCTGAGCCGAAGGCAGATACTGAACCACTGAGCCACCCCAGTGTGGAAATAGATTTGAATTTCTTTTTCTATTTGCTTTTTTCAATGCTAGTTATCACATTTTTTTTAACCTTTTCTAATTAGATGGCTAGAAAAGAGTCTCTGTATTGAAAGAATCTTTTTGGAAACTATTTTGGCCTTTGAACTTGCTAGATACTATTGTCCTCTGACACAATAGTCTCACTTCGTGTTGTTATGATTAATTGATTAGCCGATTACTTGCCTTTCTAGCTTTGGAGCACTTTGAGAGTAGAATCTGTCCTATCCACCTTCGTGTTTCTGGATGTTCATGGATGTTTGTTGAACTGAGTTGAATTAAGAGAGCATGCACAGCTTAGCAACCATTGGCCAGATGGATAAGCATCAGTATACCCAGTGGGCAAGTTATTCAATTCCTGCCAGTTACATATAATGAGTAATTTAAGTGAGCATCGATTACAGGCCAGCACTGTGTTAAGTGCCTTGCATACTTACCTGATTGAATCATCGCAGCATTGTTCTGAAGAAGAGATAATAATTATCTCCACTTTGCCAATGAGGAAATTGAGAGGTTATGAAATTTGTCCAGGTACATGACTGTAAAGTAGCAAAAATAGGTCATGAATTCAGGACTAGCTAGCTCCCAAGCCATGTCATCCCTCCCCATCTTCCCTCCTCTACTTCTCCTGCCATCTCCAACTTATTATTATAGACAATTATATATTATTATAGACATTATATATTATATATAGAGACATTTTCATATATATATATATATATATATATATATATATGAAAGTGGAGAGAAGAGTATAATAAACCTTATTATAGCCACTGCTCAGCGTCAACAATGAGCAGTATGTGCCCGATCTGTTTCATCTGTAAGTTTCTCTCAGCACCTCGTACCCACCTTCCCTTGTTGGATTATTGTAAAGTAAATCTCAGATTAATAAGTATTTAAATTTATATCTTTAAGAGATATGGACTCTGTTTTTTAACCTGAACCACAATATGATTATCACACTTTAAATTATCTCCAACAATTCCTTAATATTATCGAATGTCTGGGTCAAATTTTCCAGATTAGCTCATTAGTGATTTTTTACAGTTGATTTGTTTGAATCAGGTCCACACAAGGACTACACATCGTATTCTAAACCGTCCTAACCGTAACACAGCATTCCTTTCTCCCCTATACCTTTCCATGAGGTCTGTCCTTCTCAACGACAGGAATACTTAGCTGAGGGAAGCTACAATTTTTAAAGAGCTCCCATAAATTGAATATCCAGTTCACATATCCCAAGAAGAAAGTCCAAACAATAGTTAATGCCTGAGAAATATTGAGTCTTTTTGGAATGGAAAGAGTAGGTTGCCACGTGGTCTTGTCATCCATTTTCTCTGGAAATTCATCAGTATTTGTACAGTGGCTGAGAACTCCATCTTTCTGCTTCTGGATGTCTCCATCACAAGCTATGGCCAAGTCTCTTCAGAGACTAAGATACATAGTTAGATGCTTGTGAAACTGGCTTGAAAATTCTGTCTTTGGCACTGAGGTTAAAAAATTAGCCATGCTGGCCTGTGTACCGCCACCTCTTTGCTGTGGGAGAGTGCCTTGGCAGTGGAAGTCAGAGGTTTGTTATTTTCATAAATGGGTCATGACTTTGGTAAAGTACTTTGCATTGAGGAAATTTTCAAGTTTTCATGCTTGTTTTGGTTCTGTTTTAAACTTGAAGGTCTAGCGATCCTCCACTGTGTTGTGGCAGATGGGAATTCAACCAGAGGTCTTGAAAAGGATGGCCTTCTCTGTGGAGATCCTGGGGGAAACTGCGCAGGTAATGCTTAACAAGTGATGCATTTGTATTTTATCAGCCTCATGTTCAATATTGGAAAGTGGAGTTCCCTAATTTTAACTTTTAGTATTATAGTAATCATAAAGCTACATAGTTTTTTGAGCACGTGCTGATGTACCAAGCTCTCTGCTAAGTGCTTTATGTATAGTAATGCCTTCACTCCCCACAAGGGCCCTCCGAGCTGGATAGTATTTATTTCAAGATGAAACCCAGAAAGATTAAGTAACTTGCCAGAGGTTACAGAACAGGAAAATTGCAAATCTGAGATTCACACTCAGTTCTTTCTGACTCTAGTGCTTCCATTTTTAATAAATACACTATTTTAGGTGTCACAGGTATGTGCTTCAGACTCTAGCATGAAATACCTTGGATGAGATTCATAAAAAGTTGGCATATTCTATTCAAAATATTTTTTTTCTATTCCACAACTTAAAAGAAGGGACAAAGGCAATAACTTTGACAGATTTTTACCTTAAGGATCCTTGATTCAGTATTGTCAAAGCTATTAGTCCAATGTGGGGATGAGGCTTGGTAAGGGGTCACATAATAGGTATTTTAGGTTTTGTGGGCCACGCAGCCTTTTGCAGCTACTCAAGTCGCCCATTGTACTGTGCAAGCAGCCATAGACACATTGCAAACGATGTATTTCAAGAAAAGTGTATTTAGAGAAACAGGCTGTGGGCCAGCTCTGGCCCTAGGGCCATAGTTTGCTGACCCCTGGTCTAAGGTTCTGTCTACCCTTTATAGAGTGAATGGTCTGATCTTCTACAGGGATCGCTTCTGATTTAAAACAAAGCAAAACAAAACACAGGCCAATTCTAAAAGTAGGTTGGAGAGGCTTCCTATAATTCCCTGGAAACTTTTTGGAGCTGAGAGGGTAGTGACCTGGTGTTAAGTACTCCTTTCCAAGCATCCTGGAGAAGTCCTAACGGAGCCAGGACCATGCTGAGCAAGTCCTCCTGATGTGAGTCATCAGTTCCAGCCCAGTCTTCCTCTTTCTTCCCTCACACTAGTGGGTGGTCTGGAAAGTGCCCACAGGGGGTGGAATCCATTGGTGTCTTAGGTCATGCTTGTGTGGATCTTGTCACTCATGTAGAGAGAAGAACAAGGCCGATTTTATGTGCTTGTGTGCTTTTCTTCAGTTGAGTTTTAAATATCTGCAATGATGGCATTTTCACATTTCCTTTGGGGGTTATTCCATCATCCAATGATTGACAGTGTTAAAAAAGCTATGTCATCATTATGCTAAATGTATTGCCTATTTTTTAAATTTTAAAAAGAATATTTAACATGAGATCTACCCTTTTAACAAAATGTTAAGTATATAGTACAAGATTGTTAACTATATGCCAGATGTTGTATAGTAAATCTCTAAAAATTATTCATCTTGCATAATCCAAACTTCATGCCCATTAAACAACTCCTCATGTCCCCCCACCCCCAGCCCCGGCAACCACCATTCTACTCTCAGCTTCTGTGGATTTGGGTATTTAGATACCTTTATAAGTAGAATCATGTGGTATTTGTTCTTCTATAACTGGATTACTTCGCTTAGCATAATGCTCCTAGGGTCCATCTGTGTTGTTTCAGATGGCAAGAGTGCCTGGTTTTCTAAGGCTGAATAATATTCCATTGTTTGTATAAACCACATTTTCTTCATCCATTCATGAGTTGATGGATATTTCGATTGTTTCCACATCTTAGCTATTGTGAATAGTGCTGCAATAAACATGAAAGTGTTTATTGGGAGTGCGGAATCTCTGAGATTCTGATTTCAATTCTTTTGGATAAATACCCAGAGGTAGGATAGCTGGATCATATGGTAATTCTGTTCTGTTTTGTTTTTTTAAGAAAACTCTATACTATTTTTTTAGCTTGTTTAAGGTCACACAGTACGTGGAGTAGCCTGAAACAAATTTGGAGAGGCTGGTTCCAGGATGTGTATTGTTAATCACCACGCTGAGCTGCTAGAGTCATGAGGGAAGGTCACATGCTGAGTATGTGAAGAAAATTCTGAAAATTAATCCTTGAAAGTAAAGCCTGAAAAGACAACATGTTCTTGAAAAGGACTTAACAAGGAACAGGGCATCTTGTCTTTATTGACTGTGTGACCTTGGTCAAGTCACTGAAACTTTCAAACATCAGTTTGTCACTTGTAAAAGGAAGAAATGAATCAGATGATCTTTAGGAGTCGTCCTTATTTATTTTTTAAAAAAATATTTCATTTATTTATTCATGAGAGACACAGAGAGAGGCAGAAGCACAGGCAGAGGGAGAAGCAGGCTCCCCGCAGGGAGCCCGATGCAGGACTCGATCCTGGGTCTCCAGGATCACGCCCTCAGTTGAAGGCAGGCACCAAACTGCTGAGCCACCCAGGCGTCCCCATTTTAAATGACTTTATAATTTATTTTCAAGTGGCCCAATCTCTAAGCATTTCACTTTTAGTTTTTCCTTTTCTGCTTGAGTAAGGAACTTACTCGTTCCTACCAATACTTCCGTATACCTGCAGTGTAGCAGGCCCTGTTCCAGGTACCCAGGATGCAGCAGTGAACAACATAGTCGAAGAGGAGGTCGAAGAGTTAGTGGGGAGAGAGAGGTGATGGGCGATGCTGAGTAGAACCTTGCCGGGGACTATAAAGCCTTCAGCTTTGAGTTTTAACAGCATCACTCTGGTGTCTGTGTGCAGAGGAGACGGTTAAGGGGACAAGTGGCAGCAGCGAGACTAGTTAGGAGTTGTTGCCATGGAGACAACTTCCAGTCTAGAGATAAATGTCAGGCTTAGACCAACGTGGTAGAGATGGAGGGATGATTCTGTGTATATTTTGACTACAACCAATAAAATGTTTTTGATGAATTGGATGTAGAGTAAAAGAGAAAGAAGTCAAAGTGACTCTAAGACATTTGGCCTGAATAACAGAAAGGATGCAGGTATCATTTACTAAGATGAGGAAAGACCAGACTTTAGGGTGGAAATCGGGTGTTCCATTTGGGTAGCATTAATTTAAACTCTCAGTTAGACCCCCAAGTGGAGATGTTAGTTGGACTGTTGGACACTGAAGGGGAGATCTGGGATGGAAATATCAATTTGGGATTGTTACCGTAAAGATGTTTAAAACCAGGAAATGTCCCAAAAGGAAGTGTCAAGAGAAGAGACGAGAAAACACGGAGTCCCAGTGCGTTGCAAAAGTTAGAGGCTGGGGGATATGAGGAAGAACAAGCAAAGGAGACCAAGCAAAGAGGCCTCGTACACACAAGAATTCCGCAGCAGGCTCTCTTGAGAAACAGGAGATACAACTTCTCTTCCTGTTCATTTTTCTTTGTCTGCCCCCAGCTGTGAATAATTTTAAACATGCAAATACACACACACACCAACACTAAATTCTTTTTTCTTCCTTTAAAGGGATAGAATGAAGGAGGGCAGCTCTAAGTGCAGGCCCACTCCTTCCACTCCGACAAGCCGAGAAGCCAGTGGCGTAGCCCTCCTGGTTCAGAGCTGTGAGGGGCTGTTCTGATTAGACCTCAGCATAAACATTTCCTAGGAACTCAGCGGGGTTAACAAGTACATCTGAGATCTATTTTTCTTTTCCTGGGGTCATCAGCTGTTTTACATTTCTGTAGGAAATGGCACTGGATGTAAAACAAATGGGAATCTTCAGACAAGAGGAATTTTCAAATTTTGCACTTCGTCAAGGGCAGTGTGCGTTTACATTCCCCTGTCTTAGGGTGATAGTTGGCAAGATAAGAAGGAAAATTAACTTAGAAAATACTACACTCTCTTCCTCACCTCCTGGCTCAAGAAGGTTGTAAAAGGAGGAAATCCCTATTGGGAAGTTGCCGGGAAGCCAAGGATTCAAAGATTAAAGGCTCAACCTCTTCTCCACAGGAAGAAACTTCTTTGCAAACTGCTGTGACCACTCAAGCTTTTCTGTGCCCTTTTTAAGATCAGATATCTATGTGGGAAGATAAATGTATAGGTATTTGTTTTACTTCCTCTCTCTCCCTGTTAAGATTTATGGGACTTTTATCTCAAAATTTAGCCCCTCCCTTTAAATCTCCTGCACGGAGATTTACCTATGTATTTAACAAGGGGATTAGAGATACTATGAGGTTATCGCATTGAAATGGGAATTACATAAAATATATTACCCTTCGAGTTGATTTTAGAAGAGCTGCTGGCATTGACATCATTTATAAAATCATTAAATAGGTTAGTAATGAGCACAACTGGAATAACTAAGTGAATGTTTTACAAAAAATAAAACTAGTGTATCAATTCCGAGGAGTTTTAAACACAAAAGCATCACAAGGCCTGTTTTGGTTTGAGAATAACAATCATGTACAAGGGATCCCCGGGTGGCTCAGCAGTTTAGTGCCTGCCTTCGGCCCAGAGCGTGATCCTGGAGACCTGGGATCGAGTCCCACGTCGGGCTCCCTGCATGGAGCCTGCTTCTCCCTCTGCCTGTGTCTCTGCCTCTCTCTCTCTCTCTGTCTCTGTCTCTCATGAATAAATAAATAAAATCTTTAAAAAAAAATCATGTACAGGAAAGACCAGGGAACTGTACCATTTAATCAAAGCATCCATCAAACTGAGATAAAATTCCATACTTACACTAAATCATCCGAATGTGTGCTATCTTCCTCTACTTTAGAGTGATCCAAGAGAATCTATTGCATCTCAATTAACTATTTGTGTGATCCGAGGAAAAGGACTACTTTTTGTCTAACTGATCAAAGAAAGATGTTCTTACTCAGAGTTAGATGTTGTGATACACCTACCTACAGTAACCCTCATAGTTTCTTATCTAATTGGCTTTAGAATCCTTGGAATATGGCATCTCGAGGAGACAGAGATAGGACACTTGTGGTGCCAGTCCACTTAGGAGATTGTGTTGCAACCTGGCCCGCTAGTGCCCGCTAGTGGATTTAGTTTTCCAGTGCAATTCTGTGGGACTGACTCCATCCCAGAGGATGTTTTGGTTTTGGGAACTTGTTGGAAAAGAGTAAGGTGGGTGGGAAAAAAGAACAGTTTAGTTCCACCACCCCCGGTATCAGGGGAATTTTCATGTGAGGTTTTCAAGACCAGGTCATTCACTTCTCAACAAAGAAACACAATACATGGGACTAACCATTCTTTTGTCATAGAATTAACTTTTCCTTCTTGATAAATTTTTCTGGAATAGAAGGGTAGATCTTGCCATCCCCCCTGCCCTATGTCATCAGGTCTCATGGTAGGCAGAAAATGTTAGATTTCACAGTTGTTCAATTTTCAGATAATGCGACCTTGATGAGTAATCGATGAAAGCTACTGGAATAGAAGGTGCATATTGAAAGGGAGTATGCGATAAGCCTTCTCATTTCCATCAGAGAGAAGAGATGATCTCATCTGTTTGGGGGGGGGCAGGGAGGTAGCACAGTATGTGTGAGGTATTTTTCTCCAGTTTTTAAAGTTTCATAGAGAAATCACTGAACATTTTCTGCTTGGTGCCATAGAAGGGTTTTTTAATCCAAATAATGCTGGGAATATTTAAGATCATGTTTATTTGGCAAAGGAGGGAGCTCTGTGAATGATCCAAACAGTGCCTGGCAACCATTTCCCTGGCACGGGCCTGTGCTGCTTGGATGGGCTGAGGCCAGTCAAATCACTGCAACCAGCAGCTGCTGGGCAAGGCACTTTTTGGTATCTTGCTCTGTATGGTGTTTATTGAAAGGCCGACTACATTTAAAGGGATACAACAACCAGAGGAATTAGTAAAGCTCAGGATACAGAGCCATACGGCTCATACCTAAAGTTGGGTATTCTCAGCATCATAGGAAGGGCCTTCCTGGAGCACAGCAGATCTGTCACTAAGTCTTATTCCTTCTTAAATTCATCTCTGACCCCAGTTCCCTGGCCACAGGCCCATGTCACATATGTTTGCATGGCTCAGGCAATGGCTTTCTCCTAGCCCCCAGCATCTTACTATCTGCAGACTCCCATCTAATACACTTTGATAAAATGCTAACCCAAAAAGTGTAGTTCTTACACACACCATTTAATTCTTAAGAACCTTCTGCAGCTCTCGCCTGCCTTGTATTTCAAATATAAGTACCTCAGCCGGGCAGCCCCGGTAGCGCGGTGGTTTAATGCCGCCTGCAGCCTGGGGTGTGGTCCTGGAGACCCGGGATCGAGTCCCGCATCGGGCTTCCTGCATGGAGCCTGCTTCTCCCTCTGCCTGTGTCTCTGCCTCACTCTCTGTGTCTCTATGAATAAATAAACAAAATCTTTAAAAAAAGAAAAAAAAAAGCACCTCAGCCTACTAATATTGGATGCCTCTAACTTCCATTCTCAGCCTACATCCCCATTAAATCTGCCACCTACCGCTGCATGAGCAAGCTTGACCTGACCCTGAGCTTTTGCTCCTAACATCCTCCATAACTGAATAGCTTGCTTACCTCCTCCTAGAAAACAATCCATATTTTCCAGAACTTTTTCTTTGATTAGATAAGCACTCCTCGTAATGATACAAGGTCTCTCTTAGAATTGCCAAGATTTTCAAGATTCTAGTATCAACTCAGTCACTGAGGACCTGATTGTCCAGGGTCCTCAGCTAGGAACTTCTGCGTGCAGTTCTTACTTGAGCTCCAAAACAGCCCTCTAAGGTGGATGTTGTTATCTTCAGTGTACAGGTGGGGAAACTGAGGCTCAGGCAGCTTCGTGAGCTCGCCCAGACCCATGCAGCAAAGAAAAGGCAGAGCTGAAAATAAAATACTGACTTCCTTCGTCCTAATCTGGTCTTCTTTCTTTCCACTGTTTCCAGGGTGCCACAACTGTTTATGTGGTTACTAGGGCTGTCCTTTACTGATGGGTTGCTTATTATTGCCTTTAAAATGCTCTATTGTACCCATTAAGATAGCCAAAATATGCTTTATTCTTTTGATGTTTTCCAGTGCTTACTCTAGGGCTCTGGAAATTGAAAACACGAATGAAAGTTGATGATAAATGTATTTGCCAAAACATACAGATCTTTGTTTTTGAGACACTTCGTAGTTATTTCTGGAAGAAATCTCAGTAAGAGCCCACTGACTGGCACGCATGAGAGCAAATGCCTGGCACGTACAAGCGGTCGGCATAGCTGGCAGCCAAGTCACCAACTCTAACCAGGTCGGCCAGTCCTATGCAACCTTCTGCTACCCCCTGAAACTTTGTGACCTGCACCGCAGGGATTTTCTGTGTATGGATCATCCAAAGTTCTTGGCAATCCCTCTCTCTGGCGGCGCTGGGCAATCGTCTGTACTCGTTTTATAATATTAATTAAGAAGTGTTAGTAGTCGTTACTATTAATGTCACTGGGATGGCCGATTCATACCAGGCCCGTGTGAAATGCCCCTCGGAAGTGAACATCACGGGCTGTCTGAGGGTGTGAGCCCTTGGTCACGACTGTGGAAAAGTCCAACCCTGGGCTGGAGCTGGCTCGCTAGCTGTTGTCTCTGGGCGTGGGCACAGCTGATGCAGATCCACACGGGAAACAGCCCATTGGCATCTGCACACTGTTTCTCTTTGCCTTCTGCACGTGAGCAAGGGAGAGACCGTGCATGCTACTGTTCAGTTTAAAAGTTAGGCAATGAAAACTCTAAAGGTAAGACACGGAAGTCAGAACAGGATCGGAATCCTGGATATGAAGCTTCCTGTATTCTCCTTTTTCTTCAGGGCAAGGGAAATCATTCCAGAGGTTAAGCAAGAGGGGGAAGCTCTCATTCAGGCCAGCGTGACTCGTGACTGCCTGGTGTGTCAGGCTGGAGGCAGATGACAGCCCCTGCTGGCTCGGCAGGGGTCAGGGTGGAGCATGGACCTCCTGGGTCTGAATCTCATTCCTGCCACTTACCAGCTATGTCATCTTGGAAGGGGACTCAGCTTCCGTGTTTGTTCTTTGTGTATCCACACATCTGAGACCAGAATGATGCTCACCTCACAAGGCCGCTATAAGCACCAAGGCACTACGTTAACCATGCATATAGTTAGCACCCCAGCATCTGGGACTCGGCAAATACTATGTGCATGTTGAAGGGAAAAGAAAGAAGGAAGGAAGGAAGGAAGGAAGGAAGGAAGGAAGGAAGGGAGGAAGGAAGGGAGGCAGAAGGGAGGAAGGAAAGAAGGAAGGGAGGAAGGAGGGAGGGAGGAAGGAGGGAGGAGGGAGGGAGGAAGGAAGGAAGGAAGGAAGGAAGGAAGGAAGGAAGGAAGGAAAAAAGGAAGGGAAAGGGAAAGGGAAAGGGACGGGAAGGGCGGCCCTTCTCTGGCTCTGATGAATTTCTCGCAGAGAGAGGCCCTCTGTCCCCACAGCCGCGCCCTTTAAGCGGCACCGAGGGTCCCGAGAGGCAGGCTGGACACACACTTAGCTGACTTGTGCGACATTCCCACGGGGATCCCCGGGACTCCGTGTCTGGAGCTACCCAGATACCCGGAGAGCATAGAAGTCCCGCTTTTCCCCCCCGCGGTGCGGAGAGAAGCAGAGACGAGCCCCTGGAGTATGTTCTAGAGAAGAACTGGGGGGGGGGGGTGATGCGAGGCGCACGCGTGGCCCTGCAGCGAGCGGCTCACAGGCTCTTCTCCCTCGCAGGGGCCGCGACCACCGCGCGGTGGAGGCGGAGGGGCCACTTCGCGCGCTGCCCCCAGCGCTACGAGCACTACTGCCTCAAGGGGAGATGTCGCTTCGTGGTGGCCGAGCAGACACCGTCCTGCGTGTAAGTGGAGCAGCCGGGGCGGGGGGGGGGGCGCCACGTGCTGGGCCTGGGACCCGCGAGGTGGGCGGGGGGGCGGGGTTCCGGGCCTGATGCCCTGCACCGGGTGGTGGGCCTGGGAGGGGGGACTGGGGGGCACTCCCGGGCCTGGAGCTCTGCACCGCGTGGTGGGCCTGGGAGGGGAGGGGGGGAAGGGGGCTCCTGGGCCTGGAGGCTGCACCGCGTGGTGGGCCTGGGCCTGGGAGGGGGGCGGGGGGGGGAGGGCTCCCGGGCCTGGAGACTGCACCGCGGGGCGCAGTCCCCTGAGCAGTGCGCCCCATCCGCCCCGGGCCACGCCCTCTGCCGCCTCAGGCCAGCCGAAATTCTGTCCGTGTAAGGGACGCTCTAGGGCTCCCTTAATACCCCGGGTGGCTCAAACGAAAGCGGCTTCTTCTGGCCTGTGCCAGGGGCCGCATAGTTCATGTGACTATGAAGGAGTCTTTTCCAAATTAAGAGCTACTTCTGCAGGTGTCAGCTAAGTGCATGGAAATGAGTCCAGTTTGTAAACAGAGATGTACAAAGCCTGTTTATTATAAAAGGGAATTGGAAGAAAAGTGCTCTTTTCACATCTTAGAAGACTGAGTCCATTTAATTTTATTCAAGCACAGCTTTTTTTTTTTTTGCATTTTAAAAAATATTTATTTTCTTCTAAAGAAATGTTCTTCTAAGAACTCCCTGAGACCTTTCCTGATGGATGGGCAAGGTGATTTTTTTAAGTATAATTTTGACCTAAAGTTCATAGAATGTTTCTGTTTTTATGTGCAGTTCTCCCGTTATACATTTTTTTTCATAAGTGTCCCAGAGCAATTCTAATCCCTCATTTAATGGCACATCTAAGGGTCATGGACTTCATCAAAATTTAATTATAATTAAATCTAATTTAAAAATAAATATACTGGGTAATACTTAGAAGGGGATAAGAGTTGCAAATCTAAGGAAATAAAAATATGTGTGTGTTTGTGTGTGTGTGTTGGGAAAGAAGAGAGCTGATATTTATTTTTATTTCCTTTACTTGCTCACTGGCTTAGGAGAATATATTGAGTTTTTAAAATATTTATTTTTATTTTTTATCTCACTTTTTTTCTTTTAGTGAGAGATAGGGCGCACATACTCATGCAAACCTATGGCACTGGGGTGGGGGGGTAAAATCAAGAATCTTAGGCAGTCTCCACACCCAGCACAGAGCCCCACCTGGGGCTCCATCTCCTGATCCTGAGATCATGACCTGAGCTGAAATCAGAAGTCACAACTGAGCCACCCAGATGTCCCAAATTTTAAAAATATTAATACTATTTAACCCAGTACATTTTTCTAGCTTGTCCGTGTGTGTGTCTGCAGATTTATTGTTCTCTAATATTGCTGCCTTCTAAAATGAAAACCACAATATGTAATCCATTCAGATCAATACACAGTTCGCCCCCTTCAGCGTGAGACTAAAATTAATTTCCACGGCCTCCGTAGCTCCCCTGATCCTGGCTCACCTTTCTAGCCATACCCCTCACTATTCCCAAGTGCTCCTCTGAGGTCCTACTTCCTTTCCACACTTTATCATATACACTCTCACAGTCCAGAAAGCTTATTCTTACTGATGTTTTAAGATGCAGCTCAGACATCAGCTCCTCCGGACCCCTGCATTGATTTCCCTCTTCTCGGACACACGCACAGGTGTGTTAGATGGCCTTTCTCTGAGACCCAGTCACCCTTCTATGAAAACTTTTCCTCTGGAGCATAGCTGTTGGCTTTTCTGAGTGTCCTGCCCGTGACTGTGAGCACCTAATGGTGGGTCTCATGGCTTATTCATTCTTTGTGTTCCAGTGCCAGGTACAGCGCCAGAGTTTAATAGGCGCTCAGGAAATGACTAGTGAATAAGTACATAAGTCCCTCTAGCACGGTCCATCAAATGCTATGCTAACTGTCAAAATCAAGGCCTTACTCTGGGTCAGAAACAGCTTCCTAGTAGTAGATTGGTGCAGAATCAATAGTAAGCAGAAGAACAGAGGAGTCAGGACACAGATTTTGGAGTCAGATACACCTACGCTAAGATTTCGCTTGCACCAATTATACGCACTGCTAACAATGTTTCAATTACCTTTCCTGAGCCTCAGTTTTATCATCTGTAAAAGGGGATAATACTATCTCCCTTTCAAGTGTTGGAAATAAAGCAATATGTTAAGTAAAAATACCTATTGTAGTACCCAGCACAGAGTAGGTGTTCCATTAAGTGTACTGCTGAGATGAGTGGGACATATTTTACCTGGGCCTGACCTTTTAGGTGACTTGGCATAGCACAGATTCAGGCAAAACTGCCTTGCCATTGGTGACTCTGCTACCTTCGAAAATTAGAAGTATATCCTTTCTGCTTAGAATTACCAGGAGTTGTGGTTGTGTAAAAATAGTTGTCTGTTTTTATAATTGAAAAAAGAAAAAAAAAGGTGTGTTTCCAATAACTCAAATTCCCTTGGTCTTCTCAGTATTTTCTTGGAGTGGGGATGATTTGTTTCTGGATACATACCTTTTATTATTTATACAACACAGTTCATTTAAGCAGTGTTACATGAGCTTAGGGCATAACCCTGAGAGCCAAACTTCCTGTGCTTGAATTCCATCCACACTTACTTAATTTCTCTATACTTCAGTTTTTCCAACCGTAGAATGGGTTAATAATGGCATCTACCTCAAAGGTTGTTGTGAGGATCAATTGAGTTAATAGTTACAAATCTCTTATAATGGTGTCTGGTGATTATTTCAGAACAGTGATCCCAAATTTGATTTATCACAGTCCTCAAGGGTCATGGGCATCTTTAAAGATTATTTTATATTTTATAAGATGCTTATTAAATAAAAACTCATTTACTCAGTTATTCAGCATTTAATAAACATCTACTAGGATCTGGCACTCTTGACCTCTGCCTCTCTCATGGAAATGACCATTAGCTGATATATTATTGGTTTGCTGAGAAGGGAAATAGCATGAGAGCCACTATAACTGGCTATGTAAAGGTTCGACCTTCCAGCACGGTTCCATTACGTTTCAACTTGCGAGAAATACTGCTTGCTGAGAAATTCAATTAAAGCATGCTTAAGCCACAGAACCCAGAACCCATAATTAGAAAAACATTCTAAAAGAGCAACAAGTAATTGCTGTGTATTTTATGAGCAACGTTATTGTTTAAAAACGCCATATTTAGTAAATTCGTTAGGAAAACAAGCTAATTGAAAAAGACTATATTTGTAAGACTTTAATTATGGCCTTAAAAAAAAAACTCGTTAAAAATCTCCCTCCCACATATGCAATTAAAGATGATTCTGCACCACCACCCCTCCCAGTTCCATCCTATGTGCAAGAGACTTTTGATATTTCAAGATATTTCTAAGTTCTCTTCCTGTGATTTTGACCTTGCAACCAAGATGCTTAGCTATCTTGCAGGAAGCAATTTTCCCTATTTATATCCTTAGGGTCCTTTTGCAATATATGCCATTAGATATCTTTTCTCTTTTTCTTGCATTGAGTATCACCTTTCAATTGATGATTGTGACTGAGATAGTTTTTTGTTATTGTTGTTTCAGGCTTTATATCAGCTATAATGTTGGCTTTAAGGGATCTTCCTTGTGCAAGCTAGACTTTGTGGGAAGTAACTGCCTTGCTTCTGTCAAATATAGCCCAGAGAATGGCCTAGCAATAGATCCTTTCTTTAAAACATAAAAGCAGAACAAAATAAAACAACAAAAAATAAATAACCAAGGTTACATAGAAATCTTTTTAAGGAGCATAATTTCATCTTTTTGAGATTTAAGTAATTATATAACCAATAACTATTTTGTTCTGAATGAGTCTAAGGGGTCAAAAGGGCAAATATTTGTTAAGCAAAGGTACTGATATTACAACATACGTTTTCAATTTTGAAATGTCTTCAGACAACTTCTTATTTGACTTTTAAGCATCTACCATGATTCAGAGAATACTATGGATAGTCCCCAAATCACTGAGCCTTTAGCTCGTTGAACATTGCTCAGACAAGACTTGGCTTGGTCAAAGGGAATCTGCTGTCATGGGGTAAATCCTAAGGCTGTACTGATAAAGAGGTGAGAGATTAAGGAAAGTGAAAGTCCCTCTTGGAGATTTGTTAATTTCCAGGAGCTGCACTACATGGGGGCCACGGAGAAAGGGGTCTCTTTACAAGGGCAGTAGAGGGCATGGTATACCCATCTGAAAATGGCCCTCTGAGCATCAGATTAAGGAGCTGGAGAGGACAAGACCTATTGTGTTTTGGGGAGATGTGGTTGGAGAAGTGGTAAATAGAAGAGTATCACCTAATCTGTGGCCACTGAGAATAGAACTGGTGGGTGGAAGTTAAGAGAAAGAGAGAGAAAGGAATCCTGTTGAATCACATTTATGGAGCTTTCTAGGTGTTAGGCATTGGTCTACAAACTTTCACATACATTACCATGTTGGATCATATAAAACAGTATAATTTTTAAATAATTTTTAGCCAGAGAGCTTGGGCATGTTGAGTGCCCTACGATGAATGGGAAGTCCTGGGAATCTTGAACTCCATGTCATGTGATATTTCAGTGCTTGGGAATGCTGCAGAGGAATCTTTACCATCCCCTCTCTTTCAAGCTCAGAATCTAAAATTTTAAAATAAGTTTTAATAAATTGACATCATCGCTGTGTATTTATATTAGCCATATTGCTAATGTTCAAGTGATGACAGGTTTTCAGCAAAGCAAAGAAAGTGAATTTATTCATGAACACAGTGTTGTACGGCTTTATTTGAGAAAGTTTTGTTTTTGTGTTTAAAGAAACTGCATCCTTTATTAATTGCAGTAATGACAACAGTGCTTGTTTCTTCAAACAAGAAATGGTAGATTCTTAAAAGTCTTCCATTGTTGGGCAGCCTGGGTGGTGCAGTGGTTTAGCGCCGCCTGCAGCCTGGGGCCTGGTCCTGGAGACCCAGGATCGAGTCCCCTGTCGGGCTCCCTGCATGGAGCCTGCTTCTCCCTCTGCCTGTGTCTCTGCCTCTCTCTCTCTCTCTTGTTCTGTGTGTCTCTATGAATAAATAAATAAAAAATCTTAAAAAAAAAGTCTTGTATTGTTTACCTTGTTGTTTTATTTTTCCAGCTGTGATGAAGGCTATACGGGGGCGAGATGTGAGAGAGTTGACTTGTTTTACCTCAGAGGAGATAGAGGGCAGATTTTGGTGATCTGTTTGATAGCAGTTATGGTCATTTTTATCATTTTGGTGGTCGGTGTCTGCACATGCTGTCAGTAAGTATTTTTTAAATTTAATTTCAAGTAAATCTTAGATATTGTATTTTGCTGTTTCTTTTTTCTTCTCTTCCTTCCTCCCTTTTTGCTATGATTAAAATACATCACTTTTTGAGGTTTACCATCACTTATATGGAAGTATCTACTTATAATAAAACACATGATGCATAGTTTTTTTCATTTTGCTGAGCATAATTATTATACTTGAAAATAAAATGTGTATAAATCTCTTGATTAAAAAAAAAAAAAAACAAACCCAGAAGAATGGTGGGCAAAAAAAGGCAAAGGCGATCAAAGATACAGACTTCCAATTGTAAGATAAGTAAATCCCGGCAATAAGTCAATCATGTACGTTGTGGCAACTGTAGTCAACAATACTGTATTGTATGTTTGAAAGTTGCTAAGGGAGAAGATCTGAAAGGTTCCTCTTCACAAGAAAGAACAATTTTGTAACTATGTATGCTGCCAGTGTCAACTAAACTTACCCTGATGATCATTTTGCAGCATATACATATATCAAATCATTATGTTGTATGCCTGAAACTAATACAATGTTCTATGTCAATTATATCTTAATAAAAAAAATCCAATTATAGAGTCTTAAAGTCAGTCATATTTTATGTGGGTTTGTTAGTACTAAATAAGACTTTGTTATCTTAAATTTTACCTAGACATAGTAACTTAGGAAGGTAGACACAAACACCCAAAAACATCCCTCCCGCCCCCCCCCACCCGCCCCGCCAGGCCACAGTAAAATAATGGATTTTATTTACAAAAGATGATTACACTGTTTTTCCTTTTCATTATGTACCACAACTTTGGGAATCAAGAAACAAATTGATTTTTTTTCTCTGCAGCAGAGTGTTTTGGTACAATGCTTAAGTTAGTTTCTTTTGTAAAGCTAACAAAATTTGTATCAGACCAGGACTCCAGCAGAATATGGTAAAAGGATATTTTTTTAAAAAATTTATTTATTTATTCATGGAAGACACAGAGAGAGAGGCAGAGACACAGACAGAGGCAGAAGCAGGCTCCATGCAGGGAACCCGATGCAGGACTGGAGCCGATGCGGGACTCGATCTCAGATCCCAGGATCAGGCCTGATCGGAAGGCAGATGCTCAACCAATGAGTCACCCAGGTGTCCCAGAAGGACATTTTTAAAGTGCTATGTTCTTGTCTTGAGAACCTAGTCTAGCCTCCTAACCCACTGCATTTACTTTTGGGCTACTGTACACACCCAACTAGGATGTCTCATGACCCCTTTCTTCACAAAAAAAAAAAAAAAAAACAACTTTAGTGTAGCTACCAGAAGTCTAGAATCTTTAATTTTTTACCCCAGCTCTGCCTTTAAATATCTTTGAGACCCTGGACCCTGGACAAACCTCTCAACATCTTTAAACTTGCATTTTATTTTCTGTAAAACAGGATGATTAAATCAGATAATCTTGTAAGATTCCTTGTAGCTATAAAAGGGAAAGATATTAATTTTTTTTATTTGCCTTATGACAAAAGGAGTTTTTGTAACATGAGTTTTGGGGCAGAGCTGAGAAATGGCCTATTTTATTATGTCGACTTTGAATTACGCTTTAAGAAACTGTACTGCAGTCCAGAGTATCTAACATTTTTTAACTTTTCTGACCTTAATTAACATATCCAGAGGCTACCTTCATTTTCTTGGTTTTCTTACATCTGTTTCCAATTTGTACTGTTTCTTATTCACACACTAAATAATGCTTATTAGTCAGTTTTGTAAAATAACTTGTCCTGAAAATTCTTCTTGTGCTAACCAAGCTTCGTCAACAACTGGGTGCCGTAGTCTTCCTAGTTAGGTAGCTCTACTCGATTCACACTTTGGCCTACTGTAGCTATCCTTTGAACCTGGAGAAAGGTAAGTTAAGAGAGAACCTAAGATTTTAAGAAAAAAAAGGAACCTACGTATTTTTAGCCATCTAGAAATAAGATCATAGGCCCTCTTGACGGTTGACTTTGTGTTCACATGAGCTAACAGGTCTGTACTAATGTCTGACACTTTATTTTCCAAGTCCACTGAGGAGGCGTCGTAAAAGAAGGAAGAAAGAAGAAATGGAAACTCTGGGTAAAGATATAACTCCAATAAATGAAGATATTCAAGAGACTAGTATTGCTTAATGGTAAGTGTGATGAATTTGGTAGAAGGGATAATATTCAGGTGATAGTTACCTGATGAAATGGGCCTTAACTTTGTCTAGGAAATCAATGAGTAGATTTTGATTATGCTTAGAAACATCTAAAAGTAAATCTATTTTTTTTATGCAATCCAAAGCCAAATAAAAGACTTTCTCATATCTCTCTTTTGTGTGTTGCCCATTGAGAGGCATGTGGAAAGAGGACTTTTATATACTTTTTCTAGTGTGCTGAGGTCAACCTGCTTTCTAATGCTACATGGTTGTGGCGATTCTTTTATGCTTTTTCTTCCTCGCTTTTGGATACAAAGAGGAGGTATTTTAGTTTCCACATCTCACATTGAAAAAAATAGCAATAACCATGTTTTAATAATAACCACATTTGCTGAGCATTTACCCTATGCCAAACTCTTTAAATGTCACATCAATTAGGATCCCAGCAATATCCAACAAGGAGATTTTGACGAGAGTCTGGGAGGGCAGAGTTGAGGAACCCACAGGAACTTGGAGACTCCTGGAGCCTACACTGGCAGGAGGCTCTTCCCCTTCCATGCCTAAAAGGACCAAGAAGATTACTTGGGCACTGAGAGGCTGGCCGCAAGAGGGCCCAGACTTTGTAGGAGCTGTATTGATGGATGGAAGTAGCTACTGCTGGAAACAAAACAAGGAGGAGGAGGAAATGCAGGAAAAAGTACCCCAAACTAGCTCATCTCCTGCCTTCAGATCTTCAGCAGGTGCCTCCTGTTAGCCAAACCCAACCAGAACCTGGGGTAGGGGGGCAAGGGAGCCCTTCAGATGTATCAGCCACCTGGAGTGCAGAGCAGGGCACTCTGCACAGAAAGGCTCCGAGGGGGCAAACGGCGCATGGCGAGTAGATCAGCTGGCTACGGTAGTTTGGCTGTGACAGCGTCAAACCCAATCAGACCGATTTAAAATGCAGGGATTGTTTTGACGCGCATGAACTGGCCTCCAGAAGGAAGGTGGTCGCTACCCTTGGGTGAGCCAGACTCCCACACAGGGAAACATTCGTTGTCTATTTCTGCTCAGGTATCAAGGACTCGGCTTCATCCTTGGCGACTTCCTCTTAGTTGTAGCAGTAGCAACCCCAGCCACAGGCTTCCCTGTTCACACCCAGCAAGAGAGAGCAGGGACTTTCCGTAGCTCTGCCAGCAGAACAAAGGGTCTCCTTTCCCAGAAACATCCAACGGATGCATGCTGTGCAGTACATATTTATCGAGAAATTATATTTTTCTAACTTACTACAGGATGATACTAATCATGAATGAATTGAAAACAAAAATGCTGAAAAAAAAAGAAAACAAAAATGCTGGCTCTAGGTTTTATTATTATTCATTTTTAATTTGCATAGTACATTTCTTTTTACTAGTTTGCTGTCTCTTTCCTTATTCCTACAGACTATGAAGTTACCTCCAGGCTAGCGGCAAGCTGCAAGATGCCTGGCTTGTTTGAAAATGGACAGAATGTGTCTCAGGAAAATAGCCAGGAGAAATGAATTTTAAATAATGTATTTACTTTTTGTTTGTAATGTTAGTTTGCATTTTTTACTATTTTTGTAATGATGCGTAACTTTATTATTGTTTAGTAATTGGGAAAAACCACTCAGTTCAGAAATTTTAATAAACTTCCACTAAAACTTCTGTCACCAGGATTAGTAGTCAAACAAAAAAGGAAGATGAGGAGTTTAGGTTTTAGGAATGGAATTACTAGTAAAGCTACTTTTCATCCAGCACTTTCCATGGACTGAGAGTTTAAAGTTTATCATTTCCTTTAATTCTTTTAAGAACCTATGAGGTGGGCGGCCCCAGTGGCTCAGCGGTTTGGTGCCACCTTCAGTCCAGGGCGTGATCCTGGAGACCCCGGGATCGAGTCCCAGGTCGGGCTCTCTGCAGGGAGCCTGCTTCTGTCTCTTCCTCTCTCCCTCTCACTCTCTGTGTCTCTCATGAATAAATAAATAAATAAAATCTTTAAAAAAAAAAAAAAAGAAAGAACCTATGAGGTATCTATTGTGATCCTCATTTCCCATATATGGGAACAGACACAAAGAAATTAAATAACATAGCCCAGGTTTGCAAAGTTATCAATTGGTGGGGCCAAGATTGGAACCAAGATCTACCCAGTTTCAGTTTGTGTTCTCAACTATCACTTTTGTTGATCAGATTGGGTGCAACCTAACTCACTAATATAACCCAAGACTTTATACTAAACTATATTTTGCCATGACTCTGAGATTCTGGGGCTATTTTCCTGCAGAAACTTAGAATGGAGAGTCCTCACTCTGCCTTACTGTTACCATCACATTTTCTGAGCATTGACTTCTATTATGTTTCTTTGCTCCTTTATAAAGTTTCCATGGCATGAATAAATTCCTACATTAGTAAATCAAACAGATTTGCCCCCTAGCTAGGGTAATGAATAAAGATGGGATACATGCCTGACAGTCTTTAGGGTCCACGTAAGTGTTTGTACTCACTAAGGGATAAATGATACCACTGGGACCGGTTGTTTGTTCCAAGGCAATGGTCAGTGACAGCAGAGCCCAGTCACACTGTTTGTGACCATATTCTTATTTCTGTTCTTCCAAAAAGCATTACCTGTGATTGCTCTGAAGTGGATGTTGTTGCAAGGAAATCATGACCATAAGCATCTATCACTTGGGACCAGCCTGCCAAATATTCCTTCAACTCCATTGCATATTTAATAAAGACCCTTTTAAAACTGAAAGAGCTAAATCTACAGTTAGCCAATATTCCATAGAATATGAAACTTTCTACAATGACTAATTTACAAAAATTGATGGGCGATGTCCCCAAATTGCTGAACTTTTGTTGTGTGATGTTAGCCAAGCAGCTTTTCTTTCCAGAATCCTAGCAGATTTTACTTTGCAGTGTAGACTTCACACATGAAGTGAAGGGGAGAATTCACACTAAAGGGAAGGTTGGATGTCACCTTCTATCATACATCCTGTTTTGAGTGAGAATGAGGCTGTGTTCACAGAAATAGCTCAAATATATTAAGACCTAAGCCAAACAACTAATCATCTCCCAAACCCATTTTTCCTTCTGACTTAATAGCCATCCTTGAAACAGGATTATATCCAGTGGATTCATGCTGCATATGCTTTATTTTCTGGTCTCATTTATGCCCTTATTTTTTCTCAGTGCCCTTTGATACCAAAGTGCTTGAAACAAATGCTTATTACAGCATTTAAAAACAAAACACAATGCTATAAATGTTTTGTCTTCCCTGAACTGATGTTGGTTGACCAATGGAATCTCTCAAGCCAATTCAGGCTTGGGGATTTTGTTTTGATCCTAAAATGTAAATGATGTCTCTTAAAATTTGATGGGTCTGATATCAAGAAAGAACTTCAAAGATTTTCATGTTTTTTAAAAATGTATTTTATAATTGCCTTGCATGATCTAAATGATGTTGTTTATGTAAACTGTCAACATTATCATATAATAAAATAAATTTATTTTTAAAACAAACAAGCATATTTATTTGGAAATTTTTTATCAGTACCATGAATTCTTTTTTTTTTTTTTTTTAAATTCATGATAGTCATAGAAAGAGGAGAGAGAGGCAGAGACACCGGCAGAGGGAGAAGCAGGCTCCATGCCGGCAGCCCAACGCAGGACTCAATACCAGGACTCTGGATCGCGCCCTGGGCCAAAGGCAGGTGCTAAACCGCTGAGCCACCCAGGGATCCCCCAGTACCATGAATTCTTAAGAGAAATAAATTTGCAGGTTATTGCTCTAAAAAAGTTATATTTTATAGAGACTACTATTAGTACATTTGAAATAGTCCATTGTTTTTTCTTAGAAACTAATGAGTTTGGAAGTGTGGTGGACACGCATGAGATATTATCTGCCCCACAGTCTGGCCATACTGTTGAACCCCACCAATAGCTGCATTTGGTTGGTCTAAGGTGAGCACTTCATAAAGTTGGGGGAATTGGAGTCATTCCCAGGGGGACTGTGAACCTGAACAGAAGTTAGTCTTTCTGGGTTCTTGGGACATAAAAATGTGCATTTTGAAGGTATTGTGGCCATATTTTTGTTCCACATGGCCCAGAAGAGCAAAAGAAGCTGGTCAGAGAGGAACGGAGACAAGACTTGAACTTCCTAACAGCCTGAGTCCCTAGTACATGTATTCTCAAAGCTTAGCCTCATTTTGTTCCTGTCTGTGGGCTCTATGAGATATATTAGCATTATAATAGATACTCCATCTGACTTAAACTAGTTCTATTTGGGTTGCTGGAACCTGGAGCCAAGGTCCTGACCAAGACTGGTGAATCATGAGATTGTGGACAAGTTTCTTAAAACAGAAATGACATCCTCCACGAAACAGAGTATCAAGTTATGCTGTTCAAAGAGTGCCTTCGATTGTAGGAGAGGGACGTTCCTAACAGCAGTATTCCATCTTCACCATGCAGCCATTATAAATGATGGTTGCAGGCGGCATGGAATTCAGCAAGCATTGACTGGGCCCCTACTGTTCTAGGCACTGTGCCACCCACTATGAAAAAAGCTAGGGAGGAATAAGACATGCCTCCTTAGGAAGCTTATAGGTTAGTGATAGGAACAGCTACTCACTGAAAATTTCAATACGATTTGGTGTTTGGGAGAAGTCCAAGTTGAGTGAGATCTGAGAAGAGGATGACTAAACCACAATCGGAGAAGGACAAACAGTGTATGTTCTCACTCATTTGGGGAATATGAATAATAGTGAAGGGGAATATAAGGGAAGGGAGAAGAAATGTGTGGGAGATATCAGAAAGGGACACAGAACATAAAGACTTCTAACTCTGGGAAACGAACTAGGGGTGGTGGAAGGGGAGGAGGGCGGGGGGTGGGGGTGAATGGGTGACGGGCACGGAGGGGGACACTTGACGGGATGAGCACTGGGTGTTATTCTGTATGTTGGTAAATTGAACACCAATAAAAATTAATTTATAAAAAAAAAAAAAAAAAAAGAGGATGACTAAACCAGCTTAGAAGGAATTGCGGAAGGCTCCTGAAGAATATTACCTCTGAACTGTTGACTGTCTCTGAGAAATAAAGGACTCTGTCCCAAATTCTGGGCCAGGCCAGGTATTTCTTGGGACCTTGTCAAATTCTATAGAATTTCTTGGAAAGCCGTAGCAGTGGAGGAACAGGGAATAAGAGAAAAGAATAAATCAAGGTCAGAATGCCCCGGGCATGATATGATAGAGCATATGGGCATGTGAGCAGACAGGTAAGATGTTCCTGGTTCCAATGATGTTATTATATTATTAAGTGAAGGGAGAAAGAACTTTTGATTTCCTTCTGAAAGTGGATTATGTGGGCCTTTCACATTTTATATTTTGTATCATTGCCTACAGAGTAGACAAGTTAGACAATGGAGTAAAATGTTCTGAGTCATATAACTTGCTATTTGGACAAAGGTCTGGTTTGTGCAAAATTTTGTGAAGGAAGTCCAGGACATTTTTCAGTACTTTAAGACCAAGTTGATGTCTTGATGAGACCTTCATTTTAGTATGTTCTGCATATATTTTGTTACAAGAGCCTAAACATATTGGGGCATTGCTATTATTAATTCATTAAAAATATTTAGTAAATACCTGCTAAGTGCCAAGTATCTTAGGTACTGGGGTTATATCAGTGAAGAAAAATGGTTAAAAAAATTCTGTGACCTAATGGAGCTTATATTCCAGTGGGTATAATCTTTCACAGCATGGAATTTAAAGCAAAGCTTACCCAAGAAATTATGTTATCCAGAGGACATTATCATTAGACTTTTAATCTGTGCCACTGACTTGGAGCATGAAACTCAAATGAGCACTCAGAAAAGAACCCATTATATGGAAAGATTAGCAGATTTCCCTTGATCTCCAAATAATTTACCTGTTTTCATAGTGACTATCAAGAGCAAAAAATATGACCAGGGCAGCCCAGGTGGCCCAGCGGTTTAGCGCTGCCTTCGGCCCAGGACCTGATCCTGGAGACCCGGGATCGAGTCACATCGGGCTTCCTGCATGGAGCCTGCTTCTCCCTCTGGCTGTGCCTCTGCCTCTGTGTGTGTGTATGTGTGTATGTGTGTGTGTGTGTGTCATGGATAAATAATAAAATATTTTTTAAAAAATATGACCATGTTTCTTTGGTGTAAAAATCTTGGTTTATGCTTTTTTTTTTTTTTTTTTTTTTGGCCACGGTTAATGAATGGGGTGCTACATCTGGGGATCTGTTCTTCTTCAAAGAATCCTTTATGCCTCAAAGAATTTTTCTGAAAAGGAACCTGTCCCCATGTGATCATCTTTGGCAGCTGAGTGTTAATGCCAGAACATAATGTGCAAATACTTTATTCTTGCCTGTTTGCTAGTGTTACTGGCTCCTGGGAATGTGTATCTTATAATAACATCTAGTTGGCACTTCTGTAAACTAATTCTTCCCCAGGACCTTTCAGCTATTGGTGTTTGATGTCATCTGAAATTCTTTATTCGGAAACTAAACAAACTGTATAACTTCAAAAACTGTGTCAGCAATTATTTTTAAAAGATAAATTATGAGGAATGTTTCTGCTATTGAAAATTTTAGAACGTGGATCTCTAGGTATGTTTAGCCAACAATTATAGTCAGTACTTGTTTTATAAAAGCAATTGTAATCAAACGTGTTTTTAAGACTTTTTCCTCCATTTTTACTTTGTTTACTCAAGTTTAAGTTACAAAAAAAGTAAATGTGTGAAAGAGGTACCTCGAGAGAAGTTTTCTTTTTTCTTCTTCTTCGGTTTATTTTTAAAAGAAGTCAAACAAAATTTTTCACAAATACAGAGCTCTTTAATATTGTTTGTTCTGGCAAGTGTAATTATTCTTGTAAGATGTGTGCAGAATAATAATAAAATACTCCAAAACTCTATGAACCAAGCTGGATAACGGTTTCTCATATGCTGGGTTTTAGTCATAAGTGAGAAAGAACCTTTATTTGGCTTACCTTTTAAAACAATTTTTGAAATACTGCAATGTGTAAACTAATTTTAATAAACCTGTTTTAGCATATTCTTTCATAACACTTAAAAACATCCGTTTACTTAATGAACCAGAACTAGCAATACTTTAAAAAAAAAAAACACGTATACAATGTTTTTTGTTAGTAGGTTTTTGTTTATTTTACTCTTGAAGGTACTAGACCTCCACCCTTCTGCCTCCTAGCTCTGACTGCACGTCAAAGTAACTGAACTCTTTTGTGTGTGTGTGTGTGTGTGTACGTGTGTATGTGTGTGTATGAAATATCTCATTCACTTAATTTTTTGTTGTATATTTCTTTACTGGAGTTCGATTTGCCAACATATAGTATAACACCCGGTGCTCATCCCGTCAAGAGCCCCCCTCAGTGCCCGTCACCTGAACTCTTAACCAAACCCGTGTTCCTGATTATTCTCTCAGTGGCATAGGGATGGGGGAAACTTGCTTCTCAGCTGTTAAGATGCAAAGGTTATGAGCACAGAATCTTTGTTTAAACAGACCTGGGCTTCACTCCTAGGTATCTCACTTACAGTGAGGCCCTGGACAGGTTGCTTAACCCTACTAATGTTCTCATCAACATGGTTAAAATAGACAATAAGTCGGGTGCTCTGAGAGGATTAGATGAAATAATGCAAGTAACATGCTTAGCTCAGCCACCTGGAATATATTAAACACTTTCCAGGTCAGGGTTCACTTAATGTTAGTTATTATTAGTAAGATCAATAATAATACTGACAATGGTGATGATGTTTTCAGAATACTGTTATGGAAAACAAGGGATGCTTTTCTGAAGTTAAGACACTGCCCTGATACAATGAAGGCTTCTCTATTTTTCAGGACTCGTGATCCCTCTGGAAAGGTATATCTTTCTACTCTTATCTGAAGGAGCCATGAGCCATGGTTAGGTGAAGAATTCCAGCTCAGTGACTGGCCCTAGGAAACTGTTTCATTTCTCTCCCTATATTCTACTCCTCTCCCTCCTAGAAAGCACCCAATGAGAAAAATTAAAGAAGAAACATTACAGTGCTGTGGAAAATACTTCAAGGTCTAATAATTTTTAAATGATGCTGAGATAAGTTCATTAATTTTGGAGGTGTGGTTGGACTTTACTACTTGCACACTGGACATCACTGGAAGTGTTAAAAATAGCTTGAGTCAGGGACTGGGAATTATTTGTCAGGACTGCTGTTCACAATGTGCTTGCATGGTGATAATTATTATACCCACTTATTTGACCATAAACCCAAGGCTCAGAAAGCTGAAGTGCCAAATCACCTTACTGGTAAATCCTTGTCATCTGCCTCTTAACTTTGGTATCTCAGATCTTGAAAGAAAAGTACACTGAAATTATCTGCCTTGCAAATGGAAAGAGACAAAAATTTATTGTTCTGGACTCTGC